CAACAGACCTTCACCCCTTTCACAAGTACCAGTGAAGGGTGACTTATTCATCTTTCCAAGCAAACAAGATTCACAAGTGTCATCCGATTTCAAGCTGAATGACTCAAAACCTCCATCCTTTTGGAGTTGGGGCTACACGCTTCTTGTGGACATGTCTAAGACGAAAATGCCACAAGCATGCCTTGTCCAAGACATTGGAGTTATCAATATTCAACACATTATTTCCTAGGTTATCTACAACCATCACAGTTTCATATATACCATTACAAGGTAATGCTTCGAAATAAAATGTACCATTATAATAAGCATTGATACTACCAATTTCAATATTGAATGAAAAGGTAAAACCTTGTATATACAAACTACAAAAGGTAATAATGTTTCTCGCTGTATCCAACGAGTAACAACAATTATTCAATCTTAATTCTAACCCACTACTAAGAAATAAAGAATAAACTCCAGTCTTGATGACAAGCGAGATTTTCCTATTTCCCATGATTAAGTTTATTTTCCCATGCTCCACATCCCTACTTGCTTTTAGTCCCCGCAAATCAGACCAAATGTGAAATCAAAAACCTGTATTAAGGACACATGAATTATCATGTGACGAGTTATTAGAATGAATAGTGTAAATACCTGTGACGGTGGGCTTTATCTTCCCATCCTTAATGTCCTGCAAGTATTTGGGGCAGCTTCGTTTCTAGTGCCCTTTTTCATGACAATGGAACCACTCTGTATCCTTTGGATTGGTAGAGGGATTAACAAAACCAACTTTCATCCCACTAGAAGAGGATCCATCAAAATACTTTCCCTTGCGACTCTTAGAAAGAGCCTTCCTCTTCTTCCATTTCCCATGTCTAAATGCCAGAACAGGGGTAACAACAGTAGGAGCAGGTACAAACGACTTTCCTTTCAATTTCTTTCTGTAGTTCTTAGAAGGCCTTGAAGTTTGCTAAGAAGTGACTTCCTCCTTGTTCATATGATAGGCCATACGGAACTGATAATAAGAAGAAGGCAATGAATGTAAGATGATTTCAATGGCCAACTCTTCATCAAAATTAACATTTAATTTCAGCAAGTAATCCACATATCTATGCATCTTTTGCAAGTGGGTCGTGATGGACTCTCCATCCTTCATTTTGGTTGTGATAACGGAGACAATGATTTCATAGCTTTCCAGCCAAGAACTTTGATGGTACCTTTCCATCAAATCTTGGTGCATTTCGAAGGGCCAGAAGTACTCATAGGTCTTTTGACGCTCAACAATCATGGTAACAATCATAATGCACGACCCTTTGCCGCGTCCCTCTCATGAACTCTGTATTCCTCAATTTGTTCGGAAGTAGCAATTTGTTCATCAATCTCCTTCATCTATTTATCGAGACCATATTTTTTGTCCATGTAGCGGAGGGCCATACGAATGTTTCTTATCCAACCTTTAAAGTTTGACCCACCGAAGATAGTTCTCCCAACCAAGTTTGTGAGGGAGAATGAGCTAGAAGGGTTAGAGCTTGAAGCATTATTTTGGATACACATCTGAAAAGAAAGAACAAAGTTTAGATTAGATGAGAATCAGTAATATAACACCTAAATGAAATATTAAGGCTAGGACCCAACACAATATTTTGCAATTCAGAAGAGGGATGCCGTAATCCACTTGCAAAATATTTGAAGGTAGGTAAATGACGATTTACCAATTTCCACTGTGGAAAAAAATTGATTATTAAGTTTTATTTGGATTGAAATTCCTATATTCTTTTAAGATGCATTAAACTTTTCAATGGTATATTTAAATATCGATTGTGCCCTTCAAGTTTGTAACTGAGATGCCAAGGATCACAAACATGGTGTGAATAACCATGCAAATGTACATGGTACTCTTAATGTTAAAAATTACGTAATCAATGTTTTAGTTAACCACACACTCTCCATTGATCTATGATTCACATCAAGCTACCCTTTGCCACCGTTGTTTGTCCCATTTTAATGGAATAGCACCATTTTCACATTTTTTCGAATGTAATTAAGATTTGGTATTTAATAAAACATTTAGTTATTTTATAATTATCATTATGCTTTTAACAAGAATTAATGTCCTATCCTACCCGTTCGGCTAACGACCCTCCACCGGTCAAGGAAGCGGTTGGTGAGAGTGGACACCTATTAAACCAGCATTTTATATGCAGTAACCTTATACCCCCCTTATACACCGAATTTGTGAATGAGGCCTACTAATGGTAAGATTACCGTGTCTTATATATATATATATATATATATATATATATATATATATATATATATTACACTTATAATATTATAATAGTATAAGGTTTGAATTTTAAACTTTTGAAATTCTAGCGTTTTGAATTAAATGTTTCATTAGTGAGACTTTATAAATTCCAAAACTTGAGGACAAGTTTTCTAACTCTTCAAAACTTTTGGTTTCCATAACTTATGAAAACTTGTGAGTTTTATTGTTCATGAATAAGACTCTTCATATAACTTGAGGACAAGTTATAAAACTCACTTCAAGAACAACTTAGATCAATTTTAACTAACAACATTATCATATAATATACTATTGATCTAATCTAACTCATATAGCAAGGCAATTCACATCAATTAATACAAATGATTATCTTATTATCTTAAAATTTGACAATTGTCCTTTAATTGGATGAGGATAATCACTACCAAGTAAGAAAATACAATTTTTATGATTACAAAACAGTTTGTGGTAGTGTTCCTAATCCAATTCTGGCCAAAAACTCAAAATTCTGCAACCAGAAGCCTCTACTTGATGAGTACATGAACTGGACTCGTCGAATTGCCCTTTTAGTGAGTGAACTCGTCGATTCAGTCAGTAGATTGGCGAGTTCATCAGCCAGAGGCCAGAAAATTGATTTTTTCAACTTTGAAAAATTACCAACCATCAAATATAATAGGAAACAATCGTAGGCTTTGATACCACCGTTGGATTTTAAGAAATATAACACTCCTATGGTGCATATGTAACCCTAGATGAATTGGATCTTTGTTTTCTCTAATTACACATGCAATTTCAATTTTCCAAAGCATACATCCTAACTAGCATACAAAAGAGGATATATAACATAAAAACCAAGTTAGATGAATACCTCCTAATGTAGTTCGTAGTTCTTGGCCTTAGCAACTTTAGCACGTCAAATGGGATGCCTCTTATGTGTCACAAATACCAAATGCAAGAGGAGGCTTACGACAATAGGCTAGTTAGCTCAAAATCGATTATCACTATCTTAGAATGAATGGCCAACATATTTTAGCTCTAGGGGTGTGCTTTTATATTGTTACAAAGGCTAGGGTTTCATCCATGCAAACTCTAATGCACCATGCCCATTCATGACTTAGGCTACCTGGGTTAAACCTCCAATGGACTATCATACTAGTTTAGCCCATCCTAATTAACCATGGATCATTGGCCCACAATATAAGAATCATTTATCTAATTAATCAGTCTCCGTATATTTAGTCAGTCTCTTTTGATCACTAAATTAATTCCAAATTAATTATTGATCAATACTAATTAAATAATATGATTTCTTAATTAATATATTATACTTATAATATATTAATAAATCACAAATAACCTTATTCTCAAAAGTGCATCATATGAAATTGCACTGGTGAAGGCAACTCAAAAGGACCATGCTACTATCAGGTTAAGTACATCCCAGTTATAGTTTTGGGCTTAGACACCGAATCCAACAGGAAGATCATCAGTGCATTGATAGCACATGTGATTTTGATTGTCAAGATAGAAATGCCATATTAAGGTTCTCGAATGAACATGTATTGAACTGGTTCAACACACATTGATAGTTCATTATTGTTGTAGTGGGTTCCATATGAAAGAAGAAATATAGTATTCTTGGACTGTCTAGGAGTACCTGCTTTTCCTGAGGTAGATGGTCAAGAAGTACCAGTTGCTGGCACAAGATTAAGCTTATTGACTTTAACAAGCAGCTTTTGAGTTTCTAACTTCACCTCTTGAGCATCAATACCTTTGTGTTTGTTGATAACCTATTGAATTTTTATCAACTCATTGTTGCCAAATCTGACTATCTCATGAGAAAATATAAACTTAGTGTATTCATACTCAATCTTCTTCCTGACCAAGTAAAGCTTTAAAGACTCGTTGTATCCAAATTTGATGGGATGAAGTCTTTTTTTACGTGTCAGAACACATCCAAACTTCTTTTATTTATCTTGTCGTTCAGCTATGAAATACTATGTTGTTTGTCCACACTATTATTGAAGAGCTAAAATTTCTTCACTTGATCATTGGTACTTTGAACATTAGCACTTTCATCAGCAAAAGCAAGAGCTTGAGAAAGTTTGGTAGATAGATGTTCTCCTTTTCTATCTTCTATTCTTTCTCGAATAGCAACATTATTCTCTATCATGATTTCACTTACTTCCTCAATAGTTAAGCCTCAAACATTAGCTAAAACATTCTGATAAAAAAATAATTTTGCTATTTGTGGAAGGAGGAGGTAGTGAATGATCACTAGTAGTGGAAGAGCTTCCAAATTTAACGTTATGGGCTCCCCCTTAGAAGGAAGCCTTCCTCTTTTGAGGATTGAGTTGATCATTATCAAACTCAATGTCACGATTTGTTAGGTGAGGAATCTCCCGCTCAAAATATGAGTCAGGGTAGAAAACATTAAGAGCAACAACAAAAAAAGAAACTTATGGCATGAATCTTAGATCAAGAAACTCTTCATAGTCATCAGTTTCTAATTTATTACTAGCATCTAGAATAGTCTTATATTAGTTGTTGCATCAGCATCTACAATATTGCTTCCTAGTCCAGCAACAACAATTTCCTTTATATAGTTAGCTTCAACCCTTCTAGCTTCAGTAATCTTAGGATGGGATGAAGTAAATGCAGTTACCACCACCATTTTCATATACTAATCAAGACTCTCTTGACTATTCTCCCCCTTTTTGGTAGCATCAAATTAGGGAGGAGAGCCTGGAGGTGGTGAAGGAGTATGAGGAGGAGGTTGAGATGGTGGAGGAGAATTTGATGATGGAAGTGGAGGTGAAGGAGGATTATCACTTGGAGAGTTTGGTGGGATTTCATCAGTAACCATATAATCATCTTCACCAAGGTTATAAATCACTTCAGGAACACCCTTTTCCAATATAGTAAGCCTTTCCCCTAAGGACTGAGTTATCTTCACAAGTAGAGAAGGTTGAGAAAGTACATTTGTTTCAAAATTAGAGCTGGATTCCCCTTGATAAACAGTAGGAGTCTGAATAGGTGTTGGCATAAGTGGAAAATTTTCTGGTTAAGGAGAAGGAGACACTAACCTTGGAGAGATCAGATGTTTGATTGATGGCTCAACAATTTACAATAGAGGTGGGGTTGAGCTACCTTGTTTTTTACTCATGGAGGAGATCTCATTCCCTGTAAAATTCTTATCCCTTAACAGTGATTAGATCATCTTCTTTATCAGCTACAACCTCTTCCTCATTATTAGTACTTTCTTCACCATCATCCTCATCATCCTCTTCAATAGAGTTAGAGGATTCAACAACATCGGGTTTATGAATTGACTTTTGTATTCTCAGGGTGATATGCAAGTAATCTTCAGACATAGGAACATTGATGATCTTTAACGAAAGAGTAGGAATCGGAATGGTGAGCCCATGATTTTTAGTATAGCCTTCCTCACGAGCCAGAATTGATCCAAGCCAATAAGGATATGTTACCTATGTTGGCTTCATGTTCCCTGTGATAAAATCAATCACCTGATCAAGAAAAAGTTGAGCAAAATCTTATATTATGCTACACACAATAGAACACAAGATTGTTTTCTCAAAAAGATTCAGTTGATCCATGTTTCCAGTCTTGTGTCCTAGGAACTTACCAATAACCCCAGTTAAGTACTTCCATCCTACTCCAAAACCTAGGCTTTTTCAATCCACTTTTACATTATCAGGGTGATATGCAAGTCATCTTCAGACGGAGCAACATTGAGGATTTATGATGATAGAGCAAGAATTGGAATGGTGATCCCATGATTTTTAGTATAGCCTACCTCGTAAGCCAAAACCAATCCAAGCCAATGAGGATAGTAAACATATACTGGCTTCTTGTTCCCAATGATATAATTAATCACATGATCTAGAAAAAGTTGAGAAAAATTCTATCTTTTGTTGCACAACATAGAATACCAGATTCTTTGCTCAAAAATTGTAACAGCTCAAATTTTCAAATAAATTTTTCATTTAAAATAAAACATCATTATTCGACAAAAGAGTTTATTCCAAGTTTATTGCAAAATATAAATAACGAATCCTCAAGATCTTCAACAATGGCAGTGTGTACGTGTCACGCCGGCGCCTTCCCACGGTCATCACTAGTACCTGAAAAACATAAACACAACTAGTAAGCATAAATGCTTAGTGAGTTCCCCAGTATACGACTTACCCACATTCGCCTTCCGGCCCGGACCTTTCGGTCCACATAACATTGCCTTCCGGCCCGTAACATAATCGCCTTCCGGCCCATAACATATCGCCTTCCGGCCCATAGTATTTTGCCTTCCGGCCCATAATAGTAATAAACATAACACATATAACATATCACACATAACACATAATCATACATCATACCGTTCTTTCTATCACATAAAGTCTCGCCTTCCGGCCCGTATAAGCATACATCACATATAAAGCATCTACCTCTCTAGACATAGCATAAATATAACACATACGACCTTCCGGTCACGCAGTCAAACCCTTCCGGGTGCAGTATAGTGAGAAGACTCACCTCGTAATATGCAAGCTATAAACCCTTCGAGCCCCTCGCACTCGATCCGCTAATCTGCAGGCTCCCTATAATACCACATACCTTTATTAATGATCTTATCAAACAAGACAACTGACCCTACTAAATTACATACAAGTCAACGGTCAACTTGACCGGACTCGTCGAGTGCAAAGGCAACTCGGCGAGTCTAGACACCCCGACTCCACTCGCCGAGTCTAAAGAACGACTCGACGAGTTCCAGTAGATCTTCAAGCTACTCGCCGAGTCTGAAGAACAACTCGGCGAGTCCTAGTGAATCTTCAAGATACTCGCCGAGTCTGATCATTGGACTCGGCGAGTCCTCGCCATGCAGTCAATCAACTGCCTCCTGTAACTCGCATGATTCCGTAATATATAGATATGGGACTTCCTGGACCTTCACATATACTATTACAGGGGTTTAAACACTTGTAACAACACTATAATCTATCAAATCCTTAAATGGGTTTCCTAAACCCTAGATTCGTATACAACGCCAAAACTACAGAAAATGATCCGAGGATTACCTGGAAAACGTGTTCCCTGAGTCCCCAACCTTCAGAGCTCGATCCCCTTGAACCTCCTTTGATCACCACCTTGCCTCTCCTTGCCTAACAACCTCTTCAAGCTTCCACTAGCCTTCACCCTTGTTCCAGATGCCCACAGACTTTTTGGTTATCTTCAATCGGCCAAAAGACGAGACATGACGGCCCTAAAGGCATTATATACGATCCAGAATCAAAACGGCTAGGGTTTCAGCTGAACAGCGTCGACTCGCCGAGTCCCTAATGAACTCGCCGAGTCCAGTCGCGAATCTGTGTCCAAGACCGTGGTCCTACTCGGCGAGTCAGGCACCAACTCGCCGAGTCCCCTCCTAAATATGCCCCAAAAATAATTTAAAGAAATACCTGAAATTCCGGGCTGTTACAACTCTCCCCCACTAGAACTAGACTTCGCCCTCGAAGTCTCACTCTGTGAATAACTCCGGATGTTGCTCTCGCATTTCACTCTCCGACTCCCAAGTCATCTCCGATCCCTTCCGATGTTGCCACTGAACCAACACCAAAGGTATCTCCTTGTTCCGCAAAACCTTGATCTTCCGATCCCTGATAGCTACTGGTCTCTCGGCGTAATTCAGGCTCGCATCCACCTGAATATCCTCTAACGGAACCACTGCCGCTTCATCGGCTATACACTTCCTCAACTGTGATACGTGAAAGGTATTGTGAATCTGACTCAGCTCCGCTGGCAACTCCAACCGATAAGCTACCCGACCTACCCTTGCAATTACCCGAAATGGACCTATGAACCGGGGCCCCAATTTGCCCCTCTTTCTGAACCGAATCACTCCTTTCCAAGGAGAAACCTTTAGGAGAACGAAGTCGCCAACCTGGAATTCGAGCTCGGACCGGCGTCTGTCCGCATAACTCTTCTGTCGGCTCTGGGCGGTCAATAACCTCTGCCTCACCTGTTGAATCTGTTCGGTCGTCTGAAGTACGATCTCTGTACTGCCCATCACTCTCTGTCCCACTTCTCCCCAGCAAATGGGAGTCCGACACCTCCTACCATACAACAACTCAAAAGGTGGCATACCAATGCTCGAATGATGGCTGTTGTTGTAGGAAAACTCAGCCAACGGCAGATGCGCATCCCAGCTACCCCCGAAGTCTAACACACACGCTCTAAGCATGTCTTCCAATGTCTGAATCGTCCGCTCGCTCTGACCGTCGGTCTGGGGATGGTATGCGGTACTAAAATGCAGTTTAGTACCCAACTCCTCATGGAATTTCTTCCAGAACCTGGAAGTGAAACGTACATCGCGGTCCGAAACAATCGAGGTCGGCACTCCATGCCGAGATACTATCTCTCTCACGTATAACTCTGCCAACTTCTCTGCTGATGAACTTTCGCTAATGGCAAGGAAGTGTGCACTCTTTGTTAGCCTATCCACAATCACCCAAATCGCATCGACTCCCCTGGCAGTTCTCGGCAATTTGGTGATGAAATCCATCGTGATCTGTTCCCACTTCCACTCAGGAATCTCCAAGGGTTGCAACTTACCGTGCGGTCTCTGGTGCTCGGCCTTAACCCTACGGCAGGTCAAACACCTCTCAACGAACCAGGCGACGTCTCTCTTCATGCAAGGCCACCAGTACTCCTTTCTCAAATCCAAATACATTTTCGTAGCACCGGGATGGATCGAGAATTTCGATCTGTGTGCCTCCTCCATCAAAGTAACACGCGTACCGCCCACGAATGGTACCCAGATCCGACCCTGAAACGTCAGAAGTCTCCGTCCATCCATAACGAACTCTGAAATCAACCCGACGACCCGCTCCTGTTTCTGCATCCCAGATTTCACAACCTCGGCCTGTGCCCCACGAATAGCATCTAATACCGGAGTCATCACCGTCAATCTCAAACATACGTCCCGCAATGGAGTGCTCTCCGCCCTACGACTCAATGCATCGGCTACCACATTAGCCTTGCCTGGGTGGTATAGGATCTCACAGTCATAATCCTTAACCACGTCTAACCATCTCCTCTGACGCATATTTAGGTTGGGTTGATCCATCAAATACTTCAAACTCTTATGGTCCGTATATATGGTACAACGAACTCCGTACAGGTAGTGACGCCAAATTTTGAGGGCGAACACTACTGCCCCCAACTCTAAGTCATGCGTGGGATACCTCGCCTCGTGAGGCTTCAGCTGCCTCGATGCATAGGCTATCACATGGCCCCTCTGCATCAACACTGCACCCAGTCCCGAAATCGATGCGTCGCAATATACGACAAAGTCCTCCATCCCTTCCGGGAGAGCTAATACTGGGGCTTCGCACAGTCTCTGACGAAGTGTCTCGAAGGAAGTCTGCTGCTCGGGTCCCCATGAAAATGTAACACCCTTCCGGGTCAATCTGGTGAGCGGCACCGCGATCTTGGAGAAGTCCCTAATGAACCTCCGATAGTACCCCGCCAACCCAAGGAAACTCCTGATCTCAGAAGGTGACTTCGGTGCCTCCCAACTCATCACTGCTTCCACCTTGGCCGGATCAACCAATATCCCTGCCTGATTTACAACGTGCCCCAGAAATTGGACCTCCCGTAACCAGAAGTCACATTTGGAGAATTTTGCATATAGCTTCTCCGACCTCAGCACCTCAAGGACCTCCCTCAAATGTCCCTCATGCTGCTCTCTAGACCGCGAATACACCAGAATGTCGTCGATAAATACAATCACAGACCGATCCAGCATCGGCCTGCATACCCTGTTCATGAGGTCCATGAACACTGCTGGGGCATTGGTGAGCCCAAAAGGCATCACCACGAACTCGTAATGCCCATACCGCGTCCTAAATGCTGTCTTCTGGACGTCCTCATCCCGCACTCTTACCTGATGGTACCCTGATCTCAAATCAATCTTGGAAAACCAAGATGCCCCTTGCAACTGATCGAATAGATCATCGATCCTCGGTAACGGATAGCGGTTCTTGACCGTCACCTTGTTCAGTTCCCGGTAATCGATACACATCCGGTGTGAACCATCCTTCTTCTTGACGAACAGAATCGGTGCTCCCCACGGCGAGCTACTCGGCCGAATAAATCCCTTTCCCAACAACTCCTGAAGTTGCGAGGACAACTCTTGCATCTCTGGAGGTGCAAGACGATAAGGCACCTTCGCAATAGGCGCAGCCCCTGGAACTAGATCGATACCAAACTCTACTTGCCTCGCAGGAGGTACTCCCGGCAAATCCTCGGGAAAAACATCTGGAAACTCGCGCACCACTGGAACCTCCTCCACTGTCTTCGGCCTCTCGGAAGTCTCCCGCGTATCCATCACATACGCCACAAAACCGTTACATCCCCGCTGTATGCATTGCCTCGCCCTAGCGGCCGAACAAAAAGCTGATCCCGAACGGGTACCCTCGCCGTATACCGTAAGAACTCCCCCACTAGGGTCTCGTATAGTCACCAGCTGACGCTCGCAGTCGATGACAGCGCTGAATCGGCTCAACCAGTCCATGCCTACGATGACACAGACGTCCCC